TAGGGCCCAATGCAGGGTAAAATAACACTGATATAGATAAACAGGTTCAAGTAGAATGTGCTTTTAGTCATCTTGTTTCCCCATAGCAAAATCAACAGATTTCGACAGCAATTGGACAAAAATTCCTCAAAATTCTGAATAAAAGTGACTTTTTTCATCCTGAGAGTTTATCAATTGTTGAGTTTGTGTATAAGTCACAGAATTCACACCTATATTACTTTATTCTCCTTCTTGGTGAGTGTATAGCACCATTCTGAAGCATGTAACGACTCACAGTGAGAGCTAGCCAGGCTGAAGTACGGCCTCCACACGGCAGGGTTAGTAAGGCAGTGCTTCCCTAAAGAGTGAACAGTGAGACATCCATTTCCCCCAGTACTTAAATTCAAATCAGTCAATTGCATGCAAGTTTCTGTGCACAGATTCATCAAAAGCAGACTACTAATATCGTATAAATCATGTAAATTAATGTCAATTTCACCAATCATACGTATTTTGATGCACACATTTTTATATATTTAGTTTTAAGTTTATTTGTCATTTGCACAACATGTCAGGACATTCATGCATTGAAATGCTTGTGGTGAGGCTCAGGTCACTCTACAGCAGGGCAGCACCTGTTGCCAATAAACCACCAGATGTTTTTTTTAGCATTAAACAGCTTTACCAGCTTTTTGTTGCCCGGTTCCAACTTTTTGTAACGTGTTGTTGGCATCAAATTCAAAATGGGCAAATATTTTTCCAAAAAACAGTCAAATTTTTCAGTTTCAACAATTGATTTGTTGTCTTTGTACTATTTTCAATGAAACATAGGGTTTAAATCATGTGCACATCATTGCATTTTGTTTTTATTAACGTTTTGCACAGCGTCCCAACTTTTTTGGAAATGGAAATGAATATTTACTTCATTAGAAAGTATGTGGAAGAAACAAAGAAGGTGCATAAAAAACCTTATGTTGATGCTAATATATGAATAACATATGCCATCTGTATATGGGTAGTGTTTTATTGAACAATCATATATTGTTAAATGTATGTGTTATACACGTATGTTTGTATGTTGGTGTATGGCTGAAATTGTCTCATATTTGGAAATGGCCAATTTCAAATAATCTGCTTTATATGTCCATATTTGAGGGAAATCCACATTTGCTAACATATGTCATATATTTGAATTCCACACATTGCCATATATGAGCTATTTGAATGGGTTTTGGGGTTGAGTGGCTGAGCGACGCAACACGTCGAACATAGAAACGTAGAAAATTAAAAAATTATAAAGGGAGCGTTTTGTTTTTTTCATTGTCACTTGCTCACACCGCTGTTACACTCATGCTGCTTTCGGCTAAACTGTTCTCTAGACAGGAGGTGCTGGTAATCTTTTTCATTTGTACCAGAAAGTTTCATAACTTGTATAAAAATGGCATTTTTTCTGAAAAATGTGCAAAATGCACTCGCTCTCCACTACACTCTTAAAAATGGTTCTTCAAGGGTTTTTCAGCAAAGAAAATGGTTCTATACAGAACAAGGAACACTCAAAGAACCCTTTGCATGATTAAAGGGCTCTTCAGATTGATGTGCTGTAGATGGTTCTTTATAGAACCTTTTTGAAACGGGTTCTATATAGCACCCTCAAGGGTTCTGCTATTGTTGTGATGTCAAGCTTGCAACAACTTCTGAGTGCTCGATAGAACCCTTATCAAAAAGGTTCTATAAAGAACCATCTACACCATCTACAATCTGAAGAGCCCTTTAATCATGCAAAGCGTTCTTTGAGTGTTCATGTTTTTTTATAGAGCCATTTTCTTTACTAAAGAACCCTTGAAGAACCATCCTTTGTAAGAGTGTACATAACTATTAGCATGGTGCTAACTGAAGGTGCTAAATCATTGGGGCTGGGGCTGTACCCCTCTTGTCACTGGGGTGGAACCCTCAAGAGTACATCTCAGTACCTTTAGTCAGGGAACATAACTGAACCATAATCCGTTGAAATTATACTTTCCAAGTTGTATTGACTCCACACACCCCGTCTCGTCTCCAGGCTTTTCATTTTATTGCTCAGTTTTAAAACATTCGGTTATGAAAAGGTACAAAAAATGTTTCACCTGGGAAAAACGTATTTAAGGTTCACAATTGGACGTTAAAACCACTGTTGTAGCTTTGAGGGAACATTTACACTGTGTGTACCTTGATGAATGATAAATGTACCTGCATAGAACCTTTATTTCTAACAGCGGACACTGTATAATCAAGACTGTCCGCACTGTATTTTACAAAAATGGACTAAAGCACAGACAAACGTCAGGCGTCAACATGGCCGCTGGTGTTTTCAGCTATGCTAACAGACTTCTGTCCCTGTTTTTAGCCTCAGTATCATAAAGCACATAAGCAAGTCTTTCAGAAAGCACTGAACATCCACACAGTTTGAGTGTGATGACTTAGGCCTGCAGTTAGCACAGTGCTAACTGGTGCACATTACTTTTTAGCGACATTAGCTTCATAGCTCCAGTGTAAAACTGAAGAAGCACCAAACATGGCTAATCGAAGGCAACTGTTGTTTGGCTAAGGACATATGAAACGTGGAAAGCGTAGCAGAAACGGAGATCGAACCAACAAAGGGAGAAGTGTTTTTAGAGAGATAACCACTTTCACAGAGGAAAAACAACAACAATCTTACAGTTAGCGCGAAAACAGCCTTCCCCAGCGAAACGGCTAAGCTCAGAAATAAACCTGCATCCACTGCTGTTTTCCATTTAAATTATCAAATTTCAGGAACTGGGGAAATGATTAAAAATGTTAAATGTTTGCATAAATAAGTGTGCGTGCATGTGCGCGCGCGCGCGTGTGTGTGTTTTCCTTGTGCGTCTCCTGGCAGTGCTTATCTTAGAGGGGTAGGAATTAAGACCACATAAGGAAAGAAAGCGCCCTTCTAAATGCTGGAGACTAAGTAGAAAATTGGCTTAGCATGCAGATAGCAAAGTTAACAAAAGGAACATATATATGAGCTTGAAGTGATTGAAGTGTGCGTGCGTGCGCCCGCGCGTGTGTGTGCGAGATGCGTGCGCGTTTGATTTGCCGCACGGCTCCCCGCATAAAACTGCTAGCTTGATTTCACACTCTGGATCCAAAAATGACAACAAACACTTTAATTAGAAATGATGCAGACCAGAAACGCTTTAATGTTCTTTAACGGGAGGAGGGGAGGTGGGTGGGGGGGGTGGTAGGGAAAGGGGAAAAACGAGGGAGGGAGGGAGGGAAAAAAAAGGAAAAAGAAATAAATTCGAGCTAGGTGAAGGCCGGAGATAAATACGGAGCGCATTCCAAAACGGAGCGTGCTGAAATTTATTTATTCGTTTTAGCTGTTTTCCTGCTGTTTGTTTTTCGTGGTTTGTGATTGGTTACGCTTCCGTCCCGCTCTTTTCTCTTCGTGGGGGGTTTGAGGGGGTTGGATGGGTTTTAAAAGCAGAGGCGCAACGCTCACTAATTTTGAACGATGAGTGCTAATTTGCACCGACCTGCTTCTGAAAGCAGAGAACTGGACCAAAGCCAGGGCAGGAGATAAGAAACATAGAGGCAGAGAGATATTTGGCCACTTTATCAGAAGCCCCTTCATTGTAGTGCCGCCTTGTTGGTGTACAGTTTCTGACCACCGAGACGGTCTGTTCTGGGTATTTTGAGTGGATTGTCCACTCTCAACCTGATCTAACCCTAAACCAAATAATATTTGGACAGCAGTGGTCCTGCAGTGCTCCTTCTTCAATGAGGAATGAGGTAAAGAGGGCTCATAAACTTTGCAGCAACAGATGGACTACAGTCTGTTACTGCACACCTAGATAGTTTACCATCATATAATGTACCGTCCAGCCAAAATGGCCATTTAGTATGAGTTATTAATTTTTCAGTTTCAAGAAAAACAGCAGAAAACATCTGAAAATTACAGTGTCCACTTTTTGCCTTTACTCTTTTTGAGCTGCTCAAAGAAATCTGCAGACACACCTCCAAAGTTCAGTCTTCAAAGTTGGTTGATCATTTTCTGTAGTAACCAAACACATTCAGTGATGTTAAGGTCTGGACTCTGGGGTGGTCAGTCCATTGTTCAGCTCCTTTGTTTGATGTGTCTCCTTTTCTCAGTGAGGTTCTTCTTGACAGCTACACATCCTTTCAGACCCAAAGCGCTGAGTCATCTTCTCACAGTGGAAGGATGGACAGAAACACCTGTGGATGTTTTCAGATCTGAAGCAGTTTGATTTTCTCCTCTCTCTCAAAGATAAAAGCTTTAAGTGTTGTTTATCTGATGGGGACAGTTTTGGTGTCTACCAGCTCTTCCAGGTGGTTGTTAGGAGCCCCACTGTCTCTGTCTCTTTTTTCAACTTGTATCATTTTTTGAACTACAGTCTTGAAAACTCTTGTTCTTGTTTCTCACTTATTTTCCTCTCACTTTCTCCTTCGTTATGCAGGTGGACGATCTTATCTAATCTGCTCAAGAAATATCCCCTTGTACTTGACGGCCATTTTGACTGGAAACTAAATAATGTAAGGGTGGGAAACTGTAGGTGGAGCTCAAAGTAGACCGTGAGCATAAAAATTAATGAAGAACATCCCATCTCGTCAAAGGGTATTTCTGGTTACCAAATGTCCAGCATGGTACCATCGGCAGTGGTTTAGGTGTGCATGCTATGAGAAATGCATAGTGAGAAAGGCAAAAGTGCCTGCAGCCCTGATCACTCGAGCATCGCAGGAACATCATTATAACCATCTACATTATTTAAGAGGTCAAGCCCTATTTATCAATAGACCACCAAGTTTACATACGTCTTGAAAACACCATTCTCTCTCTCTCACTCGCTCCCTGTGTCAGCAAACACTGGCATTTGCTTAGCGAGCGTAAAGGTCCACCCTGGAGGAGTGTGTGTGTAACATAACAACAAGCAGCATGAATGCATATATATAATGTCAATGATATTTGTATAATGTATGTATAATGTGCACGTGTGCATATTCACCATAAGCCCCGAGCCGTCCGTGCAGCCCAGCAGTACCAGATTGGCCCGCTCTGTCGCACTGGGAACCGGCGACCAAGGCCAGACCTCTTCACGCCCACCAGGCCACCAGCACACGCCCACGTCCTGCGCCCGGCTCAGCGCCACATGCCGGCCTGTCCGGCGCCCACCTCCGCCCGCCAGCTCCACCGACGAGACCTGGGCACAGAGCGGGAGTGAAACAGAGCGGAACGGAACCGGCATTCATTCATAACACATAGCCTGCATAAGGCCGCAGCATAAGACATTAGCTGCCTTGCTAATGCTTCCCCAAACAGCTACTCGGTTCCAGGCTATTTTTTTCCGCTTGTTGTTATTTTTGGCTGGAGGTTGTTGATTTTACTTAAAGGGAATTTCGTTTCATTATTAATTTCAGGAGCTTTGTTGTGCTGTGTTGCGAGGATGTTTGGGGGTGAGGGTCTGCGCACTCTGTGGGCTAAAGTGCTAATGAGATCTCCTGGTGCTAGCGCCCAGCTAAATTCAAGCTCGCGGCCTGTAGCCTGTATTCATGAAGAGCCTCATGTTTAGAGATGCTGGGCCAGGGTCGGACTTCCCGTGGTCTGCACAGATATTGGTTACTTTGCGCTAGGAGAGCAGGTAGTAGCTGAACGGCTAACCCAATGAAATCACTGGTTCTGAAGACCATGAACATGTTTGTAGCGACGCTTTACATCACTGAACAAAAAGAGCTGGCAGTGTAAATGGGGAAGAACAATCTAGAACACCCTCCTTGTGGAGATCTACCATCCTGCAGAGTTTAGTTCTAACCTGCATCTAAATGTGTACAAACGCTACATCCAGCCAATCAAGGACTTCAGAAGATATTCGTTAGCAAGAGCAGACTGTGGTTGGAGCGAGTCTCTGCAGGACTCTCCAGGGTTGGTGACCACTGTTCTAGATACTTCCACTGGGGATTGATGCATAATAGTAGGTGTAAAGAACAACGTCTCCTGCTGAGGTCATACATTCGGATGAGGCTTATTTTGTTCACTCATATATATACTTAAAACAATATTAGTAAAGGCAATGGTTCTATTTAGTACCATGGGTTCTAAATAGAACCATTTCATGCTTAAGTGAAAATGGTTCTATACACTCTTAAAAGTTTTTTAATAAAGAAAATGGTTCTATATAGAAACATGAACACTCAAAGTAAAACTTTTTGTATGATTAATGGATTCTTCTTCATCGTAAAAATGTTTTTCAGATTGATGGAAAATGTGCTGTAGATGGTTCTATATAGAACCTTTTTGAAAAGGGTTCTATACAGCACTAAAAAGAGTTTGAACCCTCTGAAATTGAAGAAATGGTTCTTCAGACTGATGGAGAATTCATTGTATATGGTTCAATATAGATTTTTTTTTAAATGGTTCTATATAGCACCCAAAAGGGTTCTTGTATTGTTATGAGGTCAAGCTTGTTACGATAAAAGAACGCTTTTTGGTGCTATACAGAAAAGGTTCTATATAGAACTATCTACAGCACATTCTCCATCAATCTGAAGAACCTTTTTACAATGCCAAGAACCCTTTAATCATACAAACTTTTTTTTGAGTGTTCATGGTTCTATATACAACCATTTTCTCCAACTTGAAGAACCACCTTTAAGAGTGGCCAAAAAAGGTTCTGCTATTGCCACAAACTTGACATCATAACAATAGCAAAACACTTTTTTGTGCTTTATAGAACCATAAAAGTAATGGTTCTATTTAGAACCATAGTTTATATATATTTAGAACCATTTTATGCTTAAATGGTTCTTTGCGTGGTGAAATGGTTCTTCAGATTGATAGAGAATGTGTTGTATATGGTTCCATATAGAAAATGGTTCTATATAGCACCAAAAAGGGTTCTGCTATTGCCACACACTTGACATCGTAACAGTAGCAAAATCCTTTTTGGTGCTACATAGAACCATTTTCAAAAAACCATAGGCAACATATTCTTCATCAATCTTAAAAACCATTTAAGCATGAAATTGTTGAACATAGAACCCTTGGTTCTACATGCTTTTACTAAAAAGTCCTTGAAGAAACATCTCTTTTTAAGAGTGTAATAAAGGTAATCATTCTATATAGAACCATGGTTTCCACATAGAACCATTACATGCTTGAATTGTTCTTCGCTGTTGTGTTGTGTTGTGTATGGTTCTATATAGCACCAAAAGGGTTCTGCTATTGTTGACCATGTCACAATAGCAGAAGCCTTTTTTGGTGCTACACAGAACCATTTTCAAAGAACCATCACTCTGAAAAACCATTTAAGCATGAAATGGCTGAACACAGAACCCATGGTTCTAAATGCTTTTACTAAAGAACAGCTGAGGAACCATCTTTTTTAAGTGTGTAGCTATAAATCTAGTTTCAGTTATTTTAAACCCCAATTTCAATCGGTTATTCTAACAGTAATTAGCAGCTCTAGCAATTACATTTCAGTGATTATGTAACATCAATAAAATGCAGAGTAAAACCACAGTGGTCACTCTTCAGTCCAGCGCTGAGGTCTTCATGTTTCCCACTCCAGAGTTCATTTATCTCGGCAGCTAATAAATTAAACCGAATCGTTTCACTCGATTCACTGTAACAAACATTAACCCTCATTCAGCAGCTATAAAAATAGAAGCTGGTAAATAAAGAGAGGTTGGCTGAAAGGATGAGGCGTGGGCATCTGACAGCTCTTTATGCCGCGACATCGCTCTGTGTTGTGAATATCTGACCGCATTGTCCAGCTGCTGTGATCCAGCCTTCGTACACACCGCCATGTCTATTCAGCCTCTCCAGCAAAACCCATCTCCATACACACCGTCATAAAGGCCTTATCTGCTCCATTCCCGGCACAATAGAGGCTCCCCCTCACCGCCGCCGTGCCGCACGCCGGCCTGCCGCTGCAGAAAAGCCTGCATTATTCCCTCATTTAGACTTATGATGATCTGCTTAAGCGGGACGTTTTTATTAGCACCCGTTCGGGCCTGTAGACGGGGCACGCGGTGGCACTGGATAGCTTACAGATTCATGTGTGAGGGAAACAAAATAGAAAACGGAAAAATAGGAGGCAGCAGAAATAACTGTGAGATAAAGCACGGCCCAGAAAACCAATAAAGGGTTAAAGGAATAGTTTGGCCAGAAATCAAATGCACACATTTTCATCCTTACTCTGAATGTAGTCCACCAACCAGGACATGCTGGATTCTTTAGTTCTGCACCAGAACTATGAAGCTAAACTAGACAACAAGTAATGTAATGTATAAAATATGTACGTTTTTGGGGATGCGCCGCAATTTCGGCCACGGAAATGTCACAAAGTGCACTTTTGTTTTTGCTCGAAAGAGAAAAAGGTCAAGAATTCTTAAACACTCAAACACTGATAAACACAATAATTTTAAATTTAAATAAAACACAAATCATTTTAATGGTAATCAAAATGATAAATAGTGATTAAAACGCTGTCCCCTTCACTCTTAAACTGACAAAACAGCAGCACATTGAAAATAGACAAATTTCTACAACAATAGACAAGTGATTTCTATATTTATGTTCATATCAAGAATCAAGAGCAGATAAACCACCAAAAAACTCTCCGTTTAAAAACATCCTGGTCATCTCACTCGATACGCAGAACACTATCGAAGCCTGTTTCTGCCACTGAAAAAACAAACATTTATTTTAAACAAAGTCATAAGGAGAAAGTTTCTAAAATTATAACACAGCATCCCAAAATTATGATTTGCTATCTCATAATAATGAGATATTGTGAAAATGAAGAGTTTGTATCTCATAATTATAACACCGCATCTCAAAGTTATGACTTGCTATCTCATATTAATGAGATAATCACAAAAATATGACTTTGTATCTCACAATTATGATGTAGCATCTGATAATTATGACTTGCTATCTCATAATAATGAGATAATCTTGAAATCATGACTTAGTATCTCATATTTTTAGCATAGCATCTCATAATTATTTGCTATCTCATGATAATGGGATAATCTCAAAACTATCACTTAGTATCTCATGTTTATGACTTGCTATCTCATAATAACAAGATAATCTCAAAATTATGACTTAGTATGTCATTCTTGTGACAGCATCTCATAATGATGACTTGCTATCTCATAATAATGAGACTATCTCATAATTGCAGCTTAGAATCTCACTGTGACTTCTTATCTAATATTAATAAGTAAATATCGCACAATATTTGACTTCCTAACTGATAATAATGACATCCTATTTCATAAATATGACTTTTCTGTCACATTAATGAGATCCTATCTCTTAATTATGACTCGTTTTCTCTAACAAGGGCACCATCTTGATTTGTCGCTAGAAGCAAAGAGCAAAACTGTCCAGGCGGTGGATTTTCTGTGGCTCTTATAGACAAGAAAGCTGGACAATATAAAGCAGGACAGGAAAAATACTGCAGCCTCTGAACTTTGGTGTTTGTTAGAACTTTTGAGAGAATCTTGAATGGCAAGAAAAACAGATTCTTGATCAAACCAAGCCTCAAAGCCCACATAACCAAACTGAAGCTTTTATTTTGGACACATTATGAGAAGAAGCAGTTCACTGGAAAAGACCATCAGGGAGCAGCTGAAAGTAAAAGAGGAAAAGCTAGAAGATGGATAGTTACAGTCAGAGGAATCATGAAGCAGCCAATCAGAAGCCTGAAGACCCAAATATCAGACTGAATATTCTGGTAAAACACTATCCATATGAGATGGAATCCACTTGATGGCACTAAATTATAATCTAATACAGTGTCAGTATCATTTCAGTATCAACTAGCACTGAAATATTAATCATTTTTGTATCCAAATCACAATTTAAGAGAGTGCAAAGTGCAATTTTCAAATTGCAAGAGCTGCAATTTTTTAAAATTATACCCTACATTATCAAAAACATCTTAAGTTCTAAGTGGGGAAATTTAACATAATAACCTAGAACTTGCCTGTAGATTAGTTAGACCAATCAGAGGCAAGCAAATTCTCAGGTGTTGTGATATCACAACCACAACTTACTGGCAGTCTGGCATCAAACCTCAAGCCTCAAAAAATGGCTATTCTGGTCCTCTTGGCAAAAAAAAAACAAGTCTCAACATTAATTTATAGAAAATCATTGCAATTTAAATCGCAGAGGCAATATTAGAAAAATCTTCAATTATATATTTTCCACACATCGTTCAGCCCTAGTATCAACAGATAATTGCTTTTCAAAAAATCGGTTGGATGTTTAGAGCGGACAGATATTAAAACGCTAAAATATCTGCATTTCATACATTTTACTGTATTTGTAAACCTACAGAAATATGTTAGATTTCTCTGCAATGCTAATCCAATAGATTTAGTCCCAATCTGTACAATTTTAAAGCAATAAGCCACAAGAGACCGTGCGTTACTGCGGTTTTATCACGTGAATGGCGTTCTTATAAGTCTTGTCTTTGTAATAAATCCGTTATTATAAGTACGTTTTGGTCTACAAATTACCACCGCAAGTCTTATTTAGCACCAATCCAGCGACACCCTCTTCTCACACTGGGACTGAATCTCAAATGGCTCCCTGCTCCCTACATAGTGCACTACATAGGAATTTAAATACTGGGTGCTGCACATCGACAGCGCAAATACAGCTGAGAAACATTTGGGACTCATCCACACTTAACAAATGATGCCCTATTTGGATTTGGAATTTCTAAACTTTCATAGCTAGAACACTATCTAGGGAGTACGGAGCCCTTAGGGATTCAGCCTGGGTTTGACGCAACTTCTGACTGAAACACGGACATTTGAAGTGTGTAAGACATTCAAGTGACATTTTTAGACTTTTATACTGCCGTTTACAGTTAATCATATTGTAAGTGCTTTAATTCGAGCCTATGATATTAATGATGGAGTTGTTTAGGCTGTTGGCTCTTTTAGCCTGTTAGCTAGCTGACCAGCCTAGTTTTAGTTGAAAACATAAGTCTCCAGTCCCTCAGTTTAAACAAAAACAGGTTCTTTCTTCATCAGTGGTCCATGTGAGCAGCATGAGACTCAAAGATTATTCCATTAACAGCACAAGTTTTTTTTGTGCCGTGGCAAAGTAATACACAATACAGTTGTTGTGAATGGGTCATAGATGTGCGTATATCATGGACTTTACAATGGCTTCGAATGGAGCTCAGCCAATCAGATTTTAGCACAGGAACTATCTGTTTTATAATAATGTATATCAACAGATATGTATATAAAAATATTAGATATTGGTTTAGACACAATTCCCATGAATTAGACTAGGCCTGCAGTTAGCACCATGCTACTCGGTAAAGTATAAGCTTCCATTACTTATTAGCTACATTATCCTCGTAGCAGATTTTCTACACCAAACATGTCTTGGCTACTGGGTTACATTTGGCAATAACGGGTGACGTATGTGTAAAATTTACTGAACTATTCCTTTAAATAGAAATAAGCAGCTGATAAACAACAAGGTAAAGGGCTAAATCGTAGTTCGACAGCAGAAAAAAAACATTTCTAATCTCGTTCTCCCCCTCTTCCCCACTATCTCTCCTTCTCTCTCTCCCCCAAACTTCTCCATCTTCGCCTGCGTTTGCCGGTCAGCAATAATCAAACCCACTTTCAGGAGGATTAGGCCCCGGGCTTAGGCCAGTGAAGCGGGCAGCGGACGGGGCCTCCTGTGGGGGAGGGAGGGGGGAGTCTGGGGGGGTGGGTTAAAGGGGTGGGTTGGTTGGGGGGGTAGGGGGTGGAGGTTAGGGAGGGGTCCCCTTATCAGAGCCGTGCTGTTGGAGCCAGACTCACCACAGGAGAGATTGCTTTCATACCCGCGCCGCCACAAAGCCCGGCCGTAATGCGATAAATGCATTGTCCCCGGCCCCCAATCAGCCGCATCCAAATCACACTCTGGCTCGGGCCCCATTTAAAAAAACGGGGTTAATGCCTTTCCACAAAGAGACTGTTATTCGGCTGCGAATTTTTAGACACGCGCAAATTGTTTCGGCGAGTGGGTGAGAGAGGGTGACTAAGGACAAAAAAAAAGGAAAGAAATGAAGAAAAAAGAGGGAACGAGCACCTGTTTTCCCTCAAGAGGAGATGGACTTGACCTCTGACCTCCCTGGCCCTTACGGTGTCTGTGTGTTGAAAATAAGCTGCGGTGAAACAAACGCAGGCGCTCTTTCTTTCGCTAAACTCACCTGTTAAGCACACACACGTTATTTCAGGCTGCAGCTCATAATCTCGCATTAAAGATGTAGGCCTTGTTCAAATACTGTGCACTCGCTGTGTTCTAGTCACTGTTCCCCATGTTGGAAAAAAAGAAATAGATGTTGGAAATCTGTTTCCTTTGTAAACTTTAGGAACGCACAGTCACTGAAACTTAGAAAGTAAACAAAACAAGAAAATAACATGAAACAGATTCCACACAACACTATTAGATATAGACATATAGATATATAGAACACTATACAGAACACTATTATAGGAAACATAAACGGTCCCCTAATTAGTATTCCCTACACTGGAAAACAGATATAGAAATAATAATAGAAATTACTATTCCCTACCTTGGAGCACTACATAGGATGTAATTATAGGGAACATAAATGGTGCCCTAATCACTATACCCTACATTGGAGCACTATATGGATGTAATTATATAGAACACAAATGGTGCTCTAATCACTATTCCTAATATTGGAGTTTAAAGGATGTTATTATAGGGAAAGTAAATGGTGCCCTAATCACTATTCCCGACATTAGAGCACTACATAGGACATTATTACAGGAAACATAAATTGTGCCCTAATCACTACTCCTTATATTGGATCACTATAAAGGACGCTATAATAGAGAACATAAATAGAGCCATAATCACTATTCCCTACCTTGGAGCACTACATAGGATGTAATTATAGGGAACATAAATGGTGCCCTAATCACTATTCCCTACAAAGGAGCACTACATAGGACGTTATTATAGGGAACACAAATGGTACCCCAATCACTGTTCCCTACAACAGATCACTCTATAGGACGCTGTGATAGGCAACAAAAATGGTGTCTTAATCACAGTTCCCTACATTGGAGTACTATGTAGAACACTAGTATAAGGAACATAAATGGCTAATCACTGTTGTCTATATTGGAGTACTATGTAGAACACCACTATGAAACAGAAATATAAGGCGCTATTCTAGCAATGGTCCCCTAATTACTAATTCTTACACTGGATTATAAACTTATAAAATCTTTTATTTTTATAAACATATTTTAAGACCTGCATTCAAGTCCAACACCTATGATCTTGTTTCTAAGTCGAACTGGATTCAGATTTTTTACTGTTCCTGAGGCCACCTGTGCGGCTTTCTGAGCGGTCACTGGCTCTAGAGAGAGTATTAGAAAGTGCTGCTGTGGCAGCCACAGCCTCACCTGTCCCCAAGGTAAAGAGGGAGATGTAGCAGTTGTGGTAATTACGGCTAAAAGCTCAGCGGAAAAGCCAGGCCATTATTACAGGTCTTAATGGAAAGGAGCCAAGCTTTTTCACCAGAAGTGCTCACGTGCGTGTGCGGTAGTTACCTTAATCTCAGCAGGGGAGAGCTTCTCCCCACGCCGTGCTGACAGCTCAGGTGAGCTCTGGCTCCGCCTCCCCAGGTACACCTGACACACCTGGCTCTTCACCAGTGACAGCAGCAGGAAACGATCGCCAATCACAGCTGTTGATAAGAGGCCAGAGGTCAAAATCATGACTCATTAGACGTGCCCAGCTAAATTAAAACAGAGTGTCTGGTCAACATTAAAAGAGTGTGTGGTCAACCATGTTTTGAGCTAAAAACAGTAGCAGTAAATTTTGTCTGTCCTTTTGTTTATGTTTATAGGTAACAGAGTGTCATACAGTGTCAGAAACCACAATCTATTAATAAGTCTATTAAAGATTACTGAACAACTACACAGACAAATAATGATTTAGGCCTGCAGCTGGTACAACGCTAACTGACTTCCATTACTTAAAGTGGGGGTTAAAGGGGAACTCCACTGATTTTTCAAATTATCTGCACAATTACATAGTTAAGATGCAAACAGAGTCATTCAGAGTGGTTTGGTGTGAAATGCTCTGTTCTAGAGAAACTTCCAGAGTCATAAGTGTTTACACTGGTGGTGATAGGAACCAGACATCCACCCCTAAAAGCCCCCTCACAGAAAGTTACTACATGAAATGGTTATGTGTGAATACGCTGCCTGATGCCTGAGACATTGCTTTATGATAGTTTCGAGATAGGAATTTTAGTGATGCAAGATAACATCGAAATCATATCAGTATCGACAGACGGATGCTTTAAATTATTTGTGTCAGATTAAATTTGACTGATATTTCAAACAGATATTTCATAATGTATTGCACTCAAGAAGAGCAATACGTTTGGGTGGCGCTGGGCTCCTGTGCTAAAATATATGCAGTTTAGTCACTGCACTGGATTTGTAACCCTAGAGAAATAAATGTTACATTGCTAATGCTAATTTAGGGAGATTTAGTACCAGTTATATCAAACAATTTTATAAAAGTTTATATATTAATGTCGGCAGACATGTACATGAAAAATATCAGATGTCAGCATTGGTTCCCATACAGTTCCCATACAGGTGCATCCCTAAAGATTCTGGCCTAAAATAGATATTATAAGATTAACCTGTATTTCCCTTGACGCATGAGACGGAAAGGTGCAGGATGTACAGAGAAACTGAGAGAAAGAGTGTGTGTGTTTCTGTGTGTGAGAGAGAGAGAGAGAGAGAGAGAGAGAGAGAGAGAGAGAGAGAGAGAGAGAGAGAGAGAGCCTCTGCTGCCTGTAGGCCGTGCAGTTTTTATGCTAAAGGCAGAAAATGGCTTCAACTCTTCACCAGCTTAGCATACAGTGATTAGTAATTAAACCTCTCCTCTTTAAAATTAATCTGTTTAAAGAACCAATTAAACAGTTTGGGGGGACGGAAAAAAACAAAAACAATACGCTGTAACCTGCTTTGGTTGCAAACAGACTTCCAGGCCTAGACAGCAATTAGAGCCAGAACACACACTGGTTCTACCAAAATTGCGTATCATTGCACAGTATCGCATGAAAACAGTGAGCCGTGCATTAAAGTGATAGTTCAGCAAAAGGAAACTGCACCCCCACCCCCCACCCCACCTTACCCCAAATACAGTGGATCTGCCCAGACAAGTTTGGTCTAAGGTTTGCTTCATTTAATCTACGAGGATCAACTAACTAACAATCAACAATTCAGTCTAATCTTGCTAACAAGGAACAAGTTAGACTAATCTAGCTAACAAGGAACAAGTTAGGCTAATCTAGCTAACAAGGAACAAGTTAGACTAATCTAGCTAACAAGGAACAAGTTAGGCTAATCTAGCTAACAAGGAACAAGTTAGGCTAATTTAGCTAACAAGGAACAAGTTAGGCTAATCTAGCTAACAAGGAACAAGTTAGGCTAATTTAGCTAACAAGGAACAAGTTAGGCTAATTTAGCTAACAAGGAACAAGTTAGGCTAATCTAGCTAACAAGGAACAAGTTAGGCTAATTTAGCTAACAAGGAACAAGTTAGGCTACTCTAGCTAACAAGGAACAAGTTAGGCTACTCTAGCTAACAAGGAACAAGTTAGGCTACTCTAGCTAACAAGGAACATACTAGGCTAATCTAGTATATTGCTAGCCAAGATTAACCTACTTAGAAAGAAAACACAGCTTTAAACAGTTCATGGCTACTACAGATTTTGAAAATACATAAATAAAACACAAAATGAAAATACAAACTCCACCCTAAAACACACCAATCTTTACAAGACTCAAAATGTTCAAATGTTTAGCTTGCTGTTAAGCAGTCACAGTTAAACAAATCTTGAAATTTGGGGGTTCTGCAGCCCCCTCAGCACTCCACCTCCCATAGAGTCACATAATCATAAAAGCAGACTTGCTTATGTGCTGTATATTAGCATATTAATACCAGCTTCAATTTGTCTTTAAAACAACAGTTTGTCAAAAAAACTGCATTCAGACATACGTTAGTCCATGTTTACTGATAACAGCGTGCCATGCAATGTCAGAAAAAACATAAGCAAGCCTATAGAAGATCGATATGATTTGAGAAAGGTGAGTGATTTTGACATGCAGTTAGCATGATGCTAACTGGTGTACATAATCTTCCTTTACTTAGCATTAGCCCCATAGCATCAGTTTAAAATTAAAGAAGCAAACTACGGACACCAAACACGTCTTGGCTGATAGGCTACTTTTGCGTTTAAGGGGGAGACTGTGTCATTTTTTACCAAACTATCACTTTAAGCACCCCTATAATGGGTTAAATGGCACTTGACTGTGTAAATAGTTTGTAAGTTGCATCAATTTGCTTGAAATTGGGCTTAAGCCAAGAGCCAATGTGTCTGAGGTTGCATAAAAACCTTCTGGCGTTGAAACGGAATCAAACCTCTTACTTTTGCTCGCTGAGCTGGTGGGAAATAACACGATGACAAGAGGAAACTCCAATGCACAAGATTACTGCAAATTGTAAATGTCAAAGTTTGCTTATTTCTTGCTAATTATGCTGTGAAATTATTTAATTACGTCACAGTGTAAGAGATTTATTCGGTTTAACTGACTTTGGCACTCAATGTCACAAGAAAACTCACGTCTACCAGCGACAGACGCTCAGACAAACACTGGAGCTTCACCATTTTACCCCGTTAACAACGCAAAAACAACAAATGCACGCTGCTTTTAAGAGATTACCCCAATTTAAAAGCACATAGTGGTGTATTTAGTCCCTGGTAATCACTGCCAAAACTTAAGGGGGATTTTGTGGTAATCCATTACCAAAATCAATGTCCAACTCTGCAGCTCGGGGCTAGAGGACTGGTCTCGTTCGTGTACGAGTGTATATATGTGTGCGGGGATGGAGAGCAGCTTTTGGCCCATATGTGAAGCAGACGGCAGATCAGGATTACCCAACAGTCTCCCCTCGTAAATCAGCTTTCTAGATCCAGTTAATGCCCTCCTCCTTTTAAAACATGTTGACACTGCGGCCTAAAGAGCTTACCCAGCGCTGCTCTTAATGCATCGACAAATAATACACCAAATGAGGAATCACTTCAGGCCTCCTCAGCTATGTGGAACGCGGGAAAAAAAGGCTTCACCATGTTGAGTCACACTGCAATGCTGCGCTGTTTATCATAATGATGTTTAAAGGGCCCATATCTTCCATTTCCCTGAGGTCCACTTATGACGTTTGTGTGGTTTTATGTACCAAAAACAATCAGAATTCACTTTTCTGACCTCTGTTTATCTGTTTGCTCCAGATAATTTAAAAATTAAAGGTGGAAAAAAAGGAGATACATGTTGGATTTTTGGGACAGCAATGATACGTAAACTCTGATTGGCTGTCCTGTATGCCTCATTCAAAAAGCAGCTTAAACACAACTTATAACTTCAGCATGGATGTGCGGCGCTAAACTGCTATAGGCTGAATCAGTGTATATATGTAGATGAGGTGATTTCATGACATCACAATACATTTACATGTATCCACCTATTCAGCCGACAGCAACTTAAACACAACTGAGAACTTCAGCGTGAATGGGAGGAGTTAACCTGCTATAGGATGAATAGGTGGATGTATGTAAATGTGTTGATTTTCATGACATAACAACACATTTACACATATCCATCTACTCAGCCTACAGCAGTTTAAACACTCCTTCTAACTTCCGCGTGAATGGGCGGGGCTAAACTGCTTAGAGCTGAATGGGTAGACATATGTAAACGTGTTGGTTTTCATGACATCATAACATACTTACATATATCCAACTATTCAGCCTACAGCAGGTTGAGTACTCCTTAAACTTTAACATGGATGGGCGAGGCTCATCTGCTATGTAACAAAAACAATCATAATTCATTTTTCCAACCTACCAAATACAGAAAAATAAAAATTGGAAACTTTAAAAAAAGGTGGGTTTTTTGGGCAGCAACGAAATTTCTGATTGGTTGTCTGTACTGTGCCTCATTCAAAAAACTTTGTTATTTCAGCATGAATGGGTGGAGCTAAACTGCTGTAGGCTGGATGTGTATACATGTGTAAATAAGTTGTATTTTTATGACATCACAACACATTTACATATATGCACCTATTTCACCTACCACAGGTTAAACACTACTTATAACTTTAGCATGGATGGGCGGAGCTAACCTGCTGTAGGCTGAATAGGTGCATATATGTAAATAAGTTGCGTTTCATGACATCATAACATATTTACATATAATCACCTATTCAGCCTACAGCAGCAACCTACACCACCTTTCACGTTGAGGTTTTAAGGAGTGTTTAAGCTGCTGTAGGCTTAAACATTTATCCACCTACTCTGTAGTTTAAACACTCATTGTAACTTCAGTGTGAATGGGCGGAGCTAAACTGTAGGATGAAAAGGTATATATATGTAAATGAGTCGATTTCATGACATCACAATACATTTACATGTATCCACCTATTCAGCCAACAGCAGGTTTACAACTCCTTAGAACTTCTGTGTGAATGGGCAGAGCTGAACTGCTGTAGGCTGAATCAGTATATATGTAAATGAGTTGATTTCATGACATCACAATATATTTACATGTATCCACCTATTCAGCCGACAGCAAGTTTACAACTCCTTAAAACTTCAGTGTGAAGGGGAGGAGCTAAATTGCTATAGGCTGAATTGGTGTATATATGTGTAAGAGTTGGATTTCATGACATCACAACACATTTACATATATCCACCTATTTAGCCTACAGCAGTTTAAACACTCCTTATAACTTTAGCATGGATGGACGGAGCTAACCTGGTGTAGCCTGAATAAGTGGATATATGTAAATGTTTAGCCCCACCTTTCACACTAAAGTTATAAGGTGTGTTTAAGCTGCTGTAGGCTTAAACATATATCCACCTACTCAGTAGTTTAAACACTCCTTATAACTTCAGTGTGAATGGGTGGAGCTAAACTGCTGTAGGCTGAATTGGTGTATATATGTGTAAATAAGTTTATTTTCATGACATCACAACATATTTACATATATCCACCTATTCAGCCAACAGCAGTTCGAACACTCCTTATAACTTCAGTGTGAAGGGGAGGAGCTAAACTGCTGTAGGCTGAATAGGTGGACATATGTGTTGGTTTTCATGACATCACAGAAACAGAATTCAAAACAGTTTTTGCTGCTTAGTTTCCATAAATGGACTGCTTGGACCGGGGAGCAAATGATAGGCTCTGAAACTTCAACAACAAAATGGCTACATTTGTGTTGCAGACATTGTGACTCCTGGTTCCTATCACCACCACTGTAAAGAGTCCACAGGTTTCCCTATGATACACTTCCACATGAAACCATTCTGAATGACTTTACTTCACATCCACTGAATTATGCAGAGTGGAATTCCCCTTCATGATGATGTTTAATTCTTCTAAAACATTCTTCAGAATGTTTGCAATTTCTGAATTTCTTTTTGGCCGTTTTTACTCTAATATATCTTTGCACTGTTAATAGTGGAACCTCACAGCACACATTAGAACCTATTCCACCTTTCACACTCCTTTATTTTGCATGTTGCTCCTCCAATGACAGCATGGGGGAGTTTCAAGAAATGTTTTTTGTTTTTTGCTAAAGCCGTTACAATTTACTGAATAGCTACACGTCAGTAATTAATTGGTTATAGATGCTATTATTAATGTCCTATATGGTCCTTATTAATTAGCAATTAAAGGCTGGCGCTGCTCAGCGATGGTGAGGGGTGTTTGTCTAATTGTCTGTCTGTGTGAAACTAATGGAACAAGTGACAGATGTTGAACCAACCATCACCACCACACACAATTACTCTGATAATTAGGGCCTCTGAGGGGCTGAATGGGGCTCTATGGGGGGCAGCAGAGGGAGGAGAGAGAGAGAGAAAGAGAAGGGGGGGTATCTAGAGACCTGTAAGAGACAGCTTAGCTATAAACAATAAGTGATATGAGAAAATAATTAGCAGATTTGGGACAGTGTCCAATTCCAGCAAGCACAAATAAAACAGGAAGTAACACCACGGACCCCCGAGAGACAGTGGCGTGTGTGGGTGGTGGGGGGAGTAACGCAAGATGGAGAAAAAATAAGGTTGGTGACCTACAAGTGTGTGCTGCCCATGTGCATGCTGGGAAAATGGGTAGTGTGTGTAATTGCTAAGTACGGCCTATGCTCTCACTGCCGAGTGTGTGTATGTGTGTGTGTGTGTGTGTTGTGCTCACCGTGGCCGATGGTGTCAGCAGGTAGTCGTCCCACCAGTGTTTTGTCGATGGTCACTCTCTCTAACTGAGCTCCGCCGACTGTCAGGGTCACTAACACACCTGTACTCAACAACATCTACACACACAACAGACATACATTGTTACATTGCACTTTTCACACACAGCAGGTGCTTCACACCAATACAGAAGAAATAAAAGCATTTAACAGTAAAGCTTATGACATCCTGAGATCTAGCACCTCAGAAATACTCATGCAAAAATAGTTAATAAAAAAAATAAGATTACATGGAATTGCAGAGATAAAAAAAATAATAAAATAGAAAATATAATAATGGATTTAGTAAAGATGATGTAGTGCTTAGATTATAGAAGTCAAGAACGGCTGTAAACTGGACTTAAAGATGGCTACATTTGGAGCACATCTGACCTCATCTGGGAGGCTGTTCTAGCAGTTGGCTGCATAATGACTAAATGCTGCCTGTTTGGTTCTTATTCTGGGCACTACTAACTGACCAGTCCTGCAAGATCGGCCTGCTGGGTTTGCATACTTCAAGCAGACCAGGAACGTATTTTGGCCCATTCAGTAATTTAGTGGTAGCCAGGTAGACTTAGAGGATTGGAGGACTGGAGTAATGTGCTCAGATCTCTAAGTTCTTGTTAGCATTCTATCAGCTGCACTTTTAAATAAGATGTAATTGTCTAATTGTCTGGGGAAGGCCAGTGAGGAGACCACTGCAGCATCCCAACCTGCATAAATAAATGCATTAGCTTTTCTAAGTCTTTTAGCTGTCAACTCCGATTCTGCTAAGTCACTGTAATCAGGGTTAAGAACTTGAAATCACTTTATATAAAGCTCCAATCTGGTTGCCAATAAACGTATGAAAAGAAGGATGGTTAATATGTTGGTCCTGTGCAACTTCACTGTTTCAAATAGACAGTGGGAAACTATAAGTGAAGGAAATATGAGATGTTCAAAACGATGGACAGAGCAGACAAGGCTGCACAATTAATGAATGACACACAAGGGACCTGTGTAGGTGTGCATGTGTGTTGTTTTACTAGCTTAATAAGGACAAAATAGGGGCACAGTGACATACAACATGGGACATGGTGGGGACATTTTGTTGGTTCCGACTGGAGTGTTGAGCAGTGGAAACTCATTCACTGGTATAATAAATTATGCTTTTCTCTGCATACTTTGTTTACTAAATTGTTTACTAAATTTGTTTTCTCTGCATACTTTGTTAGCCCCTTTTTACCCTGTTCTTCAGTGGTCAGGACCCCCATGGACCCTCACAGAGCAGGTACTATTTTGGTGGTGGATCATTCTCAGCACTGCAGTAACACTGACGTGGTGGCGATGTGTTAGTGTTTGTTGTGCTGGTCTGACCACAGACAGGTCACAGGCAGGTCAGACACAGCAGTGCTGCTGGAGTTTTTAAACACCTCAGTGTCACTGCTGGACTGAGAATAGTCCACCAACCAAAAATATCCAGCCAAGAGCGTCCTGTGGGCAGCGTCCTGTAACCACTGATGAAGGACTAGACGATGACCAACACAAGCTGTGCAGCAGCAGATGAGCTATCGTCTCTGACTTTACATCTACAAGGTGGACTGACAAGGTAGGAGTGTCTAATAGAGTGGACAGTGAGTGGACACAGTGTTTAAAATATATATATATATAGCGCGCACATTACGTTGCAGTGCATGCTGGGGATTGCGTTGCAGCACATTGTGAAAAAGGCAAAAATATTAATAGAATATTGAAATATTTTTTGCGGGCCATATAGGATTGTTGTGCCCTGGGCCATGTTTGACACATGGGTTTCTGAAAAATTCCACCTTTGCAACAGAAGTTTGGAGAAGACCCTTTCCTGTTTCAGCATGACTGCCCCCCACACAAAGTGAGTGCTATAGAGAAACTGTTTGCCAAGTTTGGTGTGGAAGAACGATACACATGGGTGTGTGTGTGTGTGTGTGTGTGTGTGTGTGTGTGTTCCAAAAAATTCAGTCCTTGAGATGTAAATAAAGTCACCCATAGTGGTTTGGTGTGAAACGGTTCATTGTAGAGACAGTGGTGCTGATAGGAACCAGAGGTCACCATGACTACAACACAAATATAGCCATTTTATTTACTATCCAAAACCACCAGTGAACCTACACATCTTCTGAGTTTTATATCTAATATGTAAATAGCATTAATCTGAAAATCACTTTGTTTTGGTCCTATTTTGCCGCACAGTGACCACATATATCCCTCCACCAGGCCAAAAGCATGTCTTGGGCACCAGGCAGCATATATGTAAGCATTTTGAGTATCAGCCTTCTGTGGTGTAGCTTTTAAAGGCATTAAACATTTCAGACGTCTGGTTCTTATCACCACCACTGTAAACAATTCTGACTCTGTAAGATTATCTGGAACAGAACATTTCACACCAAACCACTCTGAATGACTCTGTTCTCATCTTAACCATTTAATAATGCAGAAATTTAGAAAAATTAGCGGAATTCCCCTTTAACACTTTGTCTTCATGGTCTTTGCTCATCGTGACAACCTGGACTTTGTTATTCAGCCAAGCTACAGTACCTAGCTTACAGTGCATGCTGGGATACACACCTGACAGCACTGCTTCGTCCTCCATTTGGTGCAAACACAGGAATTGGACTGCAAGAGCTCCTGAGTGAGAGAGAGTGACAGAGAGAGGGAATGAGAGAGAGAGAGAGAGAGTCTAATGTACACAGTATAAGCCTTACCACAAAAGCAGTTGATCAACCACTGCATTTAGCGTCTGAAGTCGACCAATTAAAATTGTACATATGTCTCATAGCTAAAAACAACATTAGCAACCACCTGGAACACTGAATGTCACCATATTTTTGGCTTTTTCTTTTTTTTGCCTATCACTTTAAAGGCACACGAAAGAGAGACTCAGGGAAGCTGAGGAAGAAGAGAGAGAAAAGAAAGAGAAGCATAACTTGGTCCTCGCACACCCTCCGCTCTGCAGGTTGCAGGGTTCAGAAGGATGTTTCCAGTTTCGGATTTTGAGAGCTAGCCAAAATGACCCACAGCGCTAGCAAACAAAGCTGCGTCTGTGCGTGTGTGCAGGGAGGGAGAACCCGCCCAAAGTCCGGCTGATCCCCCCTCAAATATCCCCTGCGATGACAGAGAGACACCCACACCCAGGTGCTGAGAGAGAGAGAGAGAGAGAGCGAGGGCGAGAGAGATGCTATTTGTTAATCAATCTGCGGTTACTGAGAAGGGGAAATGTAAACAAATACCTCCAGTTCCTTCAGGGCGTCCCGCAACTTCTCAGGACGACGGTTACTCAGGAGCCACGAGTGACCCCGACCTGGGAGCAAAGGGGGAAAAAGAATTCAGAAACACGCAGGAGGAGCACAGAAAGTGTTTTTGTGTTTTGTTTATGAGAGGAAGCAGATTGGAGTGACCCCCGGGCCTAAAGGTCGAAAGGTTAGCACCCAAATTAGGCTGAGCTGAAAGCTCCGCAGCCCCATCCGCCTCGTTCACTCGTGCTCTATAAGCAAATGAAGTCAATCTATAGGCAAATATTTGACTTAATAACCCCCTTATTGTCAGCACTTCTGGAACTTTTATTAAAGCTCACTTAAAAAGCCTCCGTACACCTGCCTTTCCACCATCTTTCCCCAGTTAGGGTTAGATATATATGCACTTTGTGACCAGGCAGAGACATAAATGTCCAAACACTAAGGCTGCAGCTAGCTTTAATTTCTATAGTCAATTAATCTGTCAACTATTATTCAATTAAAGGGGAATTCCACCGATTTTTAAAAATACCTTCATAAATCAGTAGCTGAGATGTTAACCAAGTCATTCTGAGTTGTTCAACATGAAATGCTCCGTTCTAGAGAAACTGGCCAATTTAGATTTCTTTACAGTGGTGCTGATAGGAACCAGGGGTCACCATGACTACAACACAAATATAGACATTTTATTTACTATCAGAGATCACCGATGAACCTACACGTCTTCTGAGCTTTAAATGGAAAATTTGATAATTGTAAAATAGTTGAAAATCTGTGAAGGAGCTTTAAGAGGCATTAAGCTTTTCAGACATCTGGTTCTTATCACCACCACTATGAACGACTCTGATTCGGTCTTCATCTCCTCTCACTTTGACCCATCATTTAACGTTTTACCTGCAACAAGCAATTTCACAGACAGTAGAAGCCATAAAACCATATTGCTGTATTACAGTCTGTCAAAACGACTGTGTGGATCATATGAACGTTATAGAGCACTTTTTAAATGAAACAATAGAAGCCATATCGTCCCCTACACTTCCTGTAGTGTATTACAGTCTGTCAGAGTGACTGTGTGGATCATATGAACATTATAGAGCGCTTTTTAAATGAAACAATAGAAGCCATATCGTCCCCCTACACTTCCTGTAGTGTATTACAGTCTGTCAGAGTGACTGAGTGGATCATATGAACATTATAGAGCGCTTTTTAAATGAAACAATAGAAGCCATATCACCCCCTACGCTTCCTGTAGTGTATTACAGTCTGTCAGAATGACTGAGTGGATCATATGAATATTATAGAGCGCTTTTGTTTTTCCTGAAATAACACATTCTGAAATAACATGTTATCCTGAAATAACATTTTTTCATAATTATCATTAATGACTTTGTTGCAGCCTTACTATGTACTCAGTATGTCAAACAGCATACTACTTCAGAGCAAAACACACAGATAATTACACACACAACATGCTTGATAGGCTTGTATAACTCATAGTCTTCCAGAGGTAAAAATATCCTCCATTACAGCACAATTCAATCATTCCATCCACTTCCTGCGGCTGCCCTCAGGGCAACAACTCAAAGTTACCGTAACATATTAAAACACGGCACTCTAAAATGCCCCGTTACACTCACAAAAACCTCATCATAGACCCCCGGTCCTCATCTCCCCCCAACCACACACAGTTAATTGAATTTTGGGCTGAGGCTGAGCTCATGCGTTCACATTAACAACTTAACATGAGCCTTAAGAAATGAGGGAGGAGTATCATGTTGGAAATTGTCCCGTTAAAGACTTCAATCTTGTGTGTGTGTGTGTGTGTGAGAACCATTATTAGAAATAAACGCTACTCCCCCCACCACTTTTTTTTTGAAGTGATGAAGTGCATAAATACATGAATATTAATGACGGAGAGAGAGAGAGTGCAACGGGAGCGAGAGAGGAAGGGTATGTTGAGGATGAGTGTGTGAGTGTGTGCGTCCTGATAAGGGTCTTTGTGTCCCTCTGAAGGGCAATGAGGAGGTGAGGACCTGGGAAAACGGGACGATTATTTATTCATTCATTTACTCGTTTCACTGAGACATACTGGACAAACTAATAGAACAATTGATGCCAGCATCTATTATTACTGCTACACTCAAACAACTATACATTATGGTCATAATACAAGACAGTACTACACAGTCATGTACAGAAGTCAGAGACCACCCTTCATTTATTTAATTTCCAGTCTAAACAGCCATTAAGTACAAGTTATTCATTTTTCACCATCAAGAAAAAACAAAAAATATTTAACAGGAAATTACACAGAAGCTTCAACAAATACACATGATATAAAGTTTGTCAGTATTTAGCGCGTCCACCTTTTGCATTTATTACAGCTGCCGTTCTTTTCAGCAAACTCACTTTCAGCTTTTCAAAGAAATCTGCAGGAATATTTTTCTACATTTCCAAAGTTCGGTCTTAGAAGTTGGTTTTACATTTGCTTACTTTGTTTTATTTGCAAATTTTCTTCTTTTCTGTCTATTTCTATTTCCATTATATCTCATTAGAAATGTATACCATGCACTTAAAGGCCATTTTAGAGTGGATATTAAATAAACAAAGGTCTCTGACTTTCACGCAGTACTGTAGGTTACCTGGTCACTTTTTTTCTAAGTAATTACTAGGGTTGTTAGCATGTCAGCATGTCAATGTAATAAAGTATTAATGCCACACATTTTCCCAGTTTGAACCTTTGTGCCATCCGTGGTGGTGCAGGCTGAAGCCCAGCTGCAGTGTGCTGTATGTTACTATGGCAGAACCAAAGATGGTATCGCTCTCATTCTAATGCAGCTTTTAAAGAGATACTTTCAGCAGACTACACTGGAAGAACTATGGATCAGTCAATGAGCAGCAAACTAACAAAAGCAGCAGCTTGGTGAAGCTCCAGTTCCCATCAAGAGCCTCCACTGTAGCAAGAATCCACAAGATGTATGAACAAGAGCGAGAGGCTACAATCACAGAGCAGTTCAAACACTGACTGTATATATGATATTCATTAACTGTATATTTGACAAATATGATATATACACTCATTTGTTGGAACGGCAGAAAAAACTGGTGAATGAGGCCAATGTTCAAACTGAGTCAAACTGACCCAATGCACATTTAACCATCTGAAAGTAGTATGTTTTTCTCCATAAACATTATTTTTACCTTAATTAAATATATATATATATATATATATATATATATATATATATATATATATATATATATATACTTGGTGTAATTGGGTTTTTCACCCACTACAGATCATGGTTTACTCATAATACTTCACTCGTTTTCATTAAAAAATCTTTTTCAAACATTATTTTTTCTGTACATCGGCAAAAACTAGACATTCCACACATTTGTTTAATTTATTCCTATTTAGAATTTTTCAACATTTTTGACATATTTTCTGTCAGGGGGCCTTGTCGATTAATACAAACAAAGCATCTCTTCTGCTGCGGATCAAACTGACCCTTTCAATTCAACTCACTCTAAATGAGCCGGATGTCCAGCAGAAAAAAGGTTTCATGCTCCAAAAATTATTAAATATATTTTTCCTGTGTTTTAAAACTTGAAACTCAACTCGACCTGCAACATATGATGAGGGTTGAGTTTTCTGGTCACAAAATAAAAACGCAATATACATACAGAAGAAGATTTAAAAGAGGCAGTAAACTTACTCTCTGCAAAGTGCTGTTTCTCACTGTAGTAATGATGATCTGTAGGAAAGACTAGAGAGAGAGAGAGAGAGAGAGAGAGAGAGAGAGAGAGAGAACATATTGAATACATTCAGTAAACTAGCTCTGTTAAAGTAAATAGAGGTGTATGCGTGTACTGAAAAACGAAAAAAAGATCAAGAGAAAGACAGAGAGAGAGAGAGAGAGAGAGAGAGGGAGGGAGAGAGAGAGGGAAACAGAGAGCAGAGAGATAAGAAAGAATTATTATTCTGTTATCAATCTTAGGACTTTATTATTCAGTTACTGTAATTCAGTATCAACTAGGAATTCAGTAGCCAGTAGAATAGTTCAGTATCTACTATGAATTTTTCAGTATCTAGTATGAATAAATCCTATGAATAGTTCAGTAGCCACTATGAATTGTTCAGTATCTACTATTAATTGATTCTGTGAGTTGTTCAGTAGCCACTATGAATTGTTCAGTATCTACTATGAATAAATCCTATGAATTGTTCAGTATCTACTACTAATTGTTTCTATGAATTGTTCAGTATCTTCTATGAATTATTCCTATGATTTGTTCAGTATCTACTACAAACTGTGTATCTACTATAAACTGTGGGCTGATGCGTTGAATCAGGTGTGTTAAAGCAGGTAAAACACTAAACTGTGCAGGATTAGGGGTCCCCAAAACTGGTGCTTCACAGACCCAGACCCCCAGAGCTCCAGGCTGCTCTCAGCTGGAGGTCAGGGCCTGCTGGACTGCTTCAGGATTACTGCAGCTAATCAGATAAGGGGGTCCAGACATACATACATACATACATACACACACACATACACATCCACAGCCACCTGCTCTGGGATGGGGAGCCCCCCGACCCTCTCAGTCAGCACAAGCCTGCTGCGCCCTCTGCTGGACACGGCGAGAGGAGACTGGACACTTATAACACTCTAACACAAGCACAAACACACACACACACACACACACACACACATACAAATCTGCACATATGTGTACACACAAATGTACTGAATTCATCCTCTGTATTTCTAACTTAACAAACACAAATGCTTATAAGAGTATCAGCAATCATGACTGGACTCTGGATAATACTGAAGTATATTAAATATGTGTATATTTACATACTTTATAGTTCTTCAGTCTCACCACATTATCAAGCAATTTACTAACCTTACAGCACTGATTACATACAGGGAGGGCGTTATCTACTGAAGACCACAAAACACACTGTGAAATTCAATTACTCATTAATAGTACATCAATTACATACTTTAATCTGCTGATAAACCCTCGTTATGCTGCAAAATCTCTCCGTAAAACAAACGCCAGACAAATAGAGAGTTTCCCCACAGACAGAGTGATAAACACACGCCTGTGCTTCACAAACTCCTGCGTCTTTTTTATTACCATTATTTTCAAATGGGACACTGTGTTTCAATTTGGGTGAGCTGTATTATATTTATAGTATATTTAAATGGAATATACTTATGTTTATTTATATTTATATGTATTTTACATTTATAAAATACACTATATTATTCACCGCGACCCAGAAGGATAAGCGGTTTAGATGATGGATGGATGGACTATATTATTACTACATACACTATATTCTTACTAAACTATATACTTTATTCTTACTGTATAAACTATATTCCTACCCTATACATTTTGTTCTTACTATATACACTATATTCTTACCCTGTATACGTTACTCTTACTATATACACACTATATTCTTACCCTATATTCTTCTTACTGTATACACTATATTCTTACCCTGTATACGTTACTCTTACTATATACACACTATATTCTTACCCTATATTCTTCTTACTGTATACACTATATTCTTACCTTATATACTTTATTCTTACTATATACACTATATTCTTACCCTATATAGTTTACTCTTACTATATACACACACCATATTCTTACCCTATATACTTTGTTCTTCCTATATACACTATATTCTTACCCTATATATTTTGTTCTTATTATATACACTATATTCTTACCCTGCATACGTTATTCTTACTATATACACACTATATTCTTACCCTATATACTTCTTACTGTATACACTATATTCTTACCCTACATACTTTACTCTTACTATATACACTATATTCTTACCCTACATACTTTACTCTTACTATATACACTATATTCTTACCCTATATACTTTACTCTTACTATATACACTATATTCTTACCCTGCATACGTTATTCTTACTATATACACACTATATTCTTACCCTATATACTTCTTACTGTATACACTATATTCTTACCCTACATACTTTACTCTTACTATATACACTATATTCTTACCCTACATACTTTACTCTTACTATATACACACTATATTCTTACTCTATATACTTTACTCTTACTATATACACTATATTCTTACCCTGTATACTTTGTTCTTACTATATACACTATATTCTTAAGAAATTTACTTGGTTCTTATTATATACACTATATTCTTACCCTATATACTTTATTCTAATTATATACACTATATTTTTACCCTATATACTTTGTTATTACTATATACACAATATTTTTACCCTATATACTTTACTCTTACTATATACAGTATATTCCTACCCTTTATACTATGCTCTTACTATATACATTATATTCTTACCCTATATACTTTACTCTTACTACATACACTTTATTATCATCCTATATTTTTTATTCTTGCACTATACATTTTATTCCTACAGTGTACTATAGGCACAACATTCTTGAACTATATACTACATTCTTATTGAACACACTATATTCTTACTGTACACACTATATTCTTGAACTATACACTATATTCTTACTTTGTACATTATATTTATACCCTATACTCTATATATGTACCTTATATATTTTATTCTTACATTTCATTACTACAGTGTACTATATACACTACTCACCTTATACCCTATACACCACATTCTTATACTAAATACTCCTACATGTACACCCTGTAGAATATAATTGCATACTATATAGTATATTTATACCCTACACACTGCACACTATGTACTTGATTCACACACATTACATTATACACTATATATATACCCTACACATTTTTTTCTTACACTACATTTATATCTTATACACTATAAGCGTACCCTATACACTGTGCACTATGTACTAATTCACTAATTCAGCGACAATACAAAAGACAGGTCAAAGTTGACCTATAATAAAATGTATTTTTTGGTGTAATAAAGATATTTAAGCTAACTGAAGTCTTGGAAAGTTTTACTAAGTGGAAAAGTGAGTTGGAACACTGCGCTGTATCTTAAAAACCGGCATAAGAAGCATCTATGTTTTTCATGTGTTTACTGCTGAAGTGTTTACTGCTGAAGTTGAAGAGAGAGAGAACGTGAGAAAGAGAGACAAAGACAAAAGAAATTAGACATTATCCTCAAAAGACGCCTGCTTTGTTATTGTGAGCAGACACACACAGGTTTGTATTGTTTTGGGCCTTGGATTAATTAATCCTTCTAAATAATAAACAATAGGGATAAAAACACTTCTTTATTAAATTCTTTACTCTTTTTCTCCTTTCTGTCCAAAAGGCTTACACCACTTAAAAGACGCATCAAAGGCTTCATAATGTCTGAGGTGGAAAAGGGACTTTATCGCAGACAAAGCACCACATTTTACCCCCAGCAGAACAAAACGCATGAAAGTACGAAGGTATTTTGGAGGTGAGGTAAACTAATAAAGCCTCATATCCCAAATCACACATCTCAGCTCAGCTGGAGAGGGTGAGTGCTTTTCAGGATGTGAAAGAGTGGATATGTGCAGTCAGGGTCTTTTTCAGAACCTTGAATACTATCGATATGAAATCCTCTCCTGAATAAATCTGATAAACAGCAGCCGCTCAATCCTTTCACAAAGTCTGTCATTCAATAAAGACTGACTGTGTTAATCATCATCAACAACCTCAGCGGTGCAGGCAGCGCCGAACCTGCTCACTCCACTCAGGAGTGTACATACAGAAGTCTGACTGAGAGAGTGAGAGGATAAAAGACACAGAGTGAGAGTCAATGAAAAAGAGAGCGGCGTAAATGAAATGAATGTGTGTTAGTGACAGAGAAAGGAAGGGTGAGAAAGTGAGCAAAAGAGTGAGTGCCAGAATAAAAGAGTGAATGAAAAAGTGAAAAGCGAGTGAGCGAGTGGGGAGGTGGGTGAGGTAGCGATCAGGTGATTGAGTTAGTGATTGGGTGAGTGAGTGATCGAAGGAGTGAGCGAGTGTTTCAATGAGTGAGTGAGTGAGTTAGTGATTAAGTGAGTGAGTTAGTGATCGAATGAGTGAGCTAGTGATCGAACGAGTGAGTGAGTTAGTGATCAAATGAGTGAGTTAGTGATCAAATGAGTGAGTTAGTGATCGAATGATTGAGTTAGTGATCGAGTGAGTGAGCGAGTGTTTGAATGAGTGAGTGAGTGAGTGGGCAAGCAAGTGAGAGAGTGTATGAGTTAGAGATCAGGTGAGTGTGTTATTGATGAGTTGATTGCTTGATTGTGTGAGTGAGTGAGTGAGTGAGTGAGTGAGTGAGTGAGTGAGTGAGTGAGAGAGAGAGTATTCTACACTGACCTGGTTCTCCTTTCTCATAAAACTGGAATGCACCAATATCTGTATCTGTAATGGAGAGAGAGAGAGAGAGAGAGTGAGAGAGAGAGAGAGACAGAGAGAGAGAGAGAGAGACAGAGAGATGAACACTGTTCTATCCAGCAGAGGAGGATAAATCAGCAATTTTGCACCGGCGGGACAAACAATCATTAAACAGCTCGCGTCCAGCACCGCAATCTGCCTGCTACCGAACACAGATAACACACACACACACACACACACACACACACACACACAGAGAGGGAGAGGGACAGAGAGAGAGAGAGCGCATTTCATCCTGATGACTCCTGAGATTTCTTCTCCATACAGCTCTCAGAAAGCTGACTCTGCTGATTTAAAGATTTCAACACAAACGTATTTAAAAGCCAGGGGCTGTCAAATGCTTAAAAGTAGATAATAATGACAGGAAACACAATGTTTTGTGTAGTTAATCTTTATCTTCTTTGCTCAAATGTGACTATAAAGATTTTATTCCACTTGAAAGCAGTTTATTGTGTATACACTATATTCCTGATCTATACACTAGTATGCAGTATACATTTTATTCCTACACTGCACCATATACACTATAGATCGTATACCCTATACACCATTTTCTTACATTATATACTCTGCCCTACATTTATACCTTATACACTATAATCACACACTTTACAGTATATTTATACCCGATATGAGTGAACAAAATGAACTTCATCAGAAAGTATTTATTAGTATTATTAATATTTATTACTTTCAGTAATTCAACAACATTGGTTTCATCAGGAGAGCATCAGTCTGAACCTGAACACATCTGCAGGTTCCAACCAATGAATGCATATATCATATACATCATATATACACAGTCAATGGTTCAGCTGCTCTCGCTCTCCTACCACTAACTTAAGTTGATTTAGGTGTGGTTTTCCTGCGAGCACTGTCCAGTGACGTCTGCTTTCATTCTAACAAGAGACCCATCAGGAGAAGTTCTGGTCATTTAAAATTTGCATTTGAGTGAGAGGTCAGAGAAAACAGAGCTGCAGAATGTGTGTCTTTCAAGGAAAAGAGAATAGTGTGTGTGTGTGTGTGTGTGTGTGTGTGGTGTGTGGCGTGTGTGTGTGTGTGTGTGTGTGCGCCTTAATTACCTTGTACGTGCAGGCTGCTCTTGGAGGACCACAGATTCAGCTCAGCCAAGCAGAAAGCCATCAGCTATAGAGAGAAAGAGAGAGAGAGAGAGAGAGAGAGAGAAGAGAGAGAGAGAGAGAGAGAGAGAGAGAGAGAGAGAGAGAGAAAGAGAGAGGGAGAGAAACAGACAGACAGAGAGCGAGAAAGAAAGAGTGAGAGAGAAAGAGAATAATAGAGAGAGACAGACAGACAGACAGACAGAGAAAGAAAGAGACAGAGAGTGAGAGAGAAAGACCAAAAGAGAAGGAAAAAAAGTGAGAGAGACAGAGAGAGAGAGAGAACAAAAAAAGAGCGAGGGACACACAGGGAGAAATACAGACAGACAGAGAAAGACAGAGCGAGAGAGAAGGAAAACGAGAGAGGGACATGGAGAGAGATAGAGGAAGGAAAAAAGTGTAAGAGAGAGAGAAAGAGAGAGAGAAAGAGACAGAATGAAAAAAGAGCGAGAGACACAGATAGAGATAGAGAGAAAGAAAGAGAGAGAGAGATACAGACAGATGGATTGATAGACAGAGAGAGAGACAGACAGAGAGGAGAGAGAGAGAGAGAGACAGCGAAAGAGAGGGAAAAAGAGAGGGACACAGACAAAGAGAGATAGAGAGCGATACAGACAGATGGAGACATGGAAAGAGTGAGAAAGAGAGAGAGAAAGACAAAGCATTAGCTCACTATTAAAGGGCCCATTTAACAGAAAACGAAAGGTTCCTCAGCCACTTTAATAAGACTTTTACATCACATTTAAACATTAAATACGTTAAAGTGTCCATATGGGAACTAAGCAAAAACAACCCATTTTGAAGTCACTGTTCTTGTGGTGAGGGATCATCAGGGATCAAGCTTGTGATCTCCCGCTTGTACCCCTGTCTAATATCTGACTAATCGAAGAACGTAAAGAGCACCCAGACGCATTATTTGGCGCACTTCAGCTACTGCAGTGTGAAACCAGAACCAAACAGAACAGACACAATGTGACAAAAACTCAAATTCTTTTTTAACTCTTCTTAATTTCAATAGGTTTTGATGGTTACAATATTTGTACTGCTTTGTGTTTTGTTACATCTCTGACTTTGGAGCTTTGTATTTTAGACCAAAAGAATCCCAAAAAGAGAAGAACAGAGCTGCACAATCTTCGTTCCAATGCTGGATAAGTATATATACATATAGGAATATGTAGCTACTAAGACGTAGATTTTTGACCAGCTGCTTTTGTATTTCTACTCAAGCTGTTTTGGGGGAAGGTGCATCTATTTGTGTGTGCAAGTATCAATACTTTTACTTGAGTACTGAGTTAAGCAACTCTACCCTCCTCTGAACCTGATCACAAACAGTGTCAGTGTTAGTTTTGATGCTGCTTCAGTAGCTGCAGCCTCAGCTAGCAGTATTTATTAGCTAACCTCTCTGAAGAACATCAGGCTGTTTTCATACCCAGCTCATTTTCTAAAGACCACCACAGATTGCTTTTTTGTCATATTGTATCTCTCTCCTTTGGTTCGGATTGTGGACTGCAAGGGTCAAAGTGGACTAAATTACACACGTGGGTGTTTGTTTACTGATCAGATGTTTTGCAGGCATGCAAGCGCTCTGTTACTCTCAAATTCACCACCACGGAAACCAAAAAACAGACAGTAAAGATGCTTATGGTCTATGTGTATACCAATTTAAATTTAACCGATCAGGTCACTGATGCTTGACCAAAAGTCTGCTCCATGATCCATAATCAAACGCATATCGATAATTTAGTGCTTGTCTCTCATTATTTACAGCAGCTCACAGTGCAGGAACAATATGTGCGTTTGTAAAGAGTGAAATGTTAAAGCAGCAGATTGTGCCGACAGTTGTTTGGTGCTGCCTGAATTCGGGTGGAGTCGCGTGTCAAAACCAAACTAAAGAAAAGGTTTGACACCAATCAAGGCGGGTCTGAAAGCACCTCCAGCTGAAATGGAGATTCTGATTGGCTTCATGCAGTTTAGAGAAAGCAGAGGTTTTTATGTGCGTGTCCTGAACTCAAAAAGTAGTGGGGCGTCACCACAGTACTTTGAAAAGTGGTGGGGCAAATGTCTGCTCACCACCATGGTTTCGGCGGCTCTGCTTGTCTTCCAAAATAAAATAAGCGAAGCCTAAACACAGTGACAGACATCTGATGATGCTGCTGTATATCACATTTATGGCAGGAAACAAATCCATTCACATAAAAGGAACCGACAGTGTGGCGACCTCCAGTCAGACTCTCTCCACATTTCTTCCACTTTGGGTGTCAACACACCTCTGTCTATGACTCAGTGTAAGTTACTCATACAATTATGAAGTAAGCTGGGAAACAAACATGAGAGTGTTACCTTTCAAACGAGACCAAGATCATGGCTGTAGCCCAAAGTATGTGGGAAGAGCGCTCTTTTTACTTTGGGTACGCTGTTTCAGGCAAAAATGGGGCGACTGTGAACAGGTTAATTATGTTTAAATTCAGCCAATCAGGTCGCCCTATCAAGAACGTCCATATGATGAAAGTGGACCGCGATAAAAATTTGTTGCCACCAGCACCAAACTGAACAACAACTTGTTTAGAAGTGGGCCGAGACACGCAGACCACGGTTCAGTTCTTTAGTGCTGACCACAGTACGGGTGGAGCGTCAAACACCTGTCAAAATGGACCAAACTGCAGAAAAAACATTTGAGTGATCCACACCGAACAAGGTAGGTGTGAAAGTGGCCTTAATATTTGTTCTGGTCACTTCAGCGACGCTCGGCTGAATTGAATTCAAAACTGACTTTGCCATTTTGACCCTGGCCTCATGATGTCACAGAGGTCATCCACATGAACTGCATGAGCATTTCTCCCGCTTCCACGGAGCTCATCGGTGGTTATCAGGCCCGAAACCTCCGCCGCGACCTTTTTAATTTCATCTGACACTTTGCTTTATTCAATTTGCCCTGTATTCTCTCACCCCCAATAAGGTCCCCTACCTTTTAAATAACTTAAACGAACCAGAAAGGAAAAGGAGAAAAAAAAATGCTTGATTGCATTTAAATGTACAGCGGGATGACCGTGTAGATGGTAATTAAGAGGGAAGGGCAGGAGGAAAAAGGTGGAATAAGACGAGGGTCCAACGAACGAGGGATGATAAATTTAATCTGGGGCCTGATTAAATAAATGAAAAAAAAAAGTAACGACGTCTCTTCGGGGGTCGACCACTGGGCAGGAGGAGAGAGAGATTGAGTGATGGACTCGTTTCTTCCTTCGCCGGCATACTAATGGAGAGAGAGAGAGAGAGGTAAGGAAGTCAGAAAAAGGTGTGATGGAGAGAGTCAGGTAAAGAAAGAAAGAGAGCGAGTAGAGAGAGAGAGAGAGAGAGCGTAGAACAGATAAGAGTTTGATAAAGACTCGATTTCCCAAGGCTTTAATTACGTTACCTTTTAAATCTTAGCAGGAGCTGCAGCTGAAGGCCAGAATCGCTCTGTCCTTGTTCTAAAATGCCCTCAAATGTTTTATTAAACCTGCTTTTGCTCTGTTGAGCTGCAGGAGGTGAGGATTTTGGATACAGTTTTTATGAACGCATGGCTTTTTACAAACAAAAAGGGGTCTAGAGCCCTTGGAAGTAGGTTTTTTTGCGATTTTACCCAGCTTAGTCAGGAGCGTCTGGCTCCTAGAGTGTCCAGCAGTGTCCCTAAACACCTAGGCTAATATTACACAGTTATGGCTAGTTAAATGGCCAAATATGATGCTATTGTGAAGATAATAGCACTGTTTTAGCATTGAAATTTGAAAGACACAGTTACAGCTAGTTCAATCGCTGAATATCTTTGCTAACTCTGCATGATGCTATCAGTGAAGATAAAGCATTGTGTAGTGTTAGCATAGAAATTTGATACAAGATCGCAGTTAAAAGTTCTATCACTGCTAAAGAAAACAGCTTGGGTAAGCATGTATTCCATGCTGGTCTAAGCTGGTTTATGCTGGTCTGTTGCTGGTTTAGCCGGTCACCCAGCAAGGTTATGTATCAGAGTGTGTCAGACACAGTGGTGTTGCTAGCGTTTTTCAGAAACAGGACCACCACCACAGTGGCTCTGTGGTCAGAAACTGACCACTGACGAAAAGCCAAAGATGGCAAACATGCTGTCCAGTCTGAAACTGATGGACTGTGCTGCTGTGTAAATAATTTAAGCTGAAACCAGTTTGATTTTTCTGAGCGGTATGGACGCGTTAAGAACCAGGCTGACCAATCAGGGCTCTACTGACATGGTTGCAGCCCAAGCAAATGGCATTTTTCTCACGGCAGAGAAGAAAAGCTTATACAACAAGCAACAAGCTAAGCTATAAAAGTGCGGAGCTGAATGAAAATATATGTAGGACCAGCTGAAGGGCTGGGAATGACCAGTACAACAGTACAATGCAGGGGCTGATTATAGCCGTTCTTATGTTTGTTCGTTTGTTTATCTAGGTGTATCTTCGTCTTTTCATGTCTGCTCTTTTTGTGGAATGCTCTTTTTGTGAGTCCTCTTTTTACAGGATATACTAGTCAAGGAATCCATTTTCCTTCCTCTTCCATATTATTCCTACGGAAACCTGTTTCTGCAACAGGAAAAAAATATATAGCCATTTAGTTAGTCATAATAATGACAAAGTTATCCATAATTATGACTCAGTATCTAATAATTATAACACAGCATCTCATAATTATGACCTGATATCTTCCTGAATTCCCAGGTTGTTAAAAAACAAAAACACTGGATTTGGTGTGAAGGTTCCATTAAAAACACATTAACAGATGTGTCTCTAACTAGGTGGAGCTGCAAAGGAGGGGGTTCTGATAAAGTGACCACTAAGTGAACTGACCACTGGTGATATTAGTTGCTGTAGACAATGAAGGGAGGTGGACCTCTCTTTCTCACTTTTTACAGCTCAAGTATACTCATATACAGGTGGTGCAGTGGAGGGAGGGGTGGGCTGCCCCCGTCTCGTTGGGACAGGTTCAGAAGCCTCTCAGCCGTGGGGTCAGAGGCTGATGGTGGGGTGACAGGAGAACCAG